GCGTGGCACCTGTTCCTAGAAGCTTCTTGTTACTACTAGTAAGGCACTTGTTCCTAGTAGCGTGGCACTTGTTACTACTAGCGAGGCACTTGCAAAAAGCCTTTTAGCTGCTCATGGTTGCTCCAGATTCAGCCGATTACATGCCCTTTCGGACATGGTTCCTTTGATCTGCTTGAGGACTTCTGAGAAGTCGGCGATGCGCTCTTCGCAAGTCGCCTTGTGTAGCTTCAGAAAAGAAGAGTTCCAAAGAAGCTGTGGATCAGTAGGGAGGTAGGTCACACCGAGAAACTCCAAAGACATCCGCAACGTAGTGGTTGCTTTCTCACCCATGAGGTTTTCATAGCTCACATAGTGATGGAGAATGTTCGAATGACGCAAAAAGGACCACCACTGTTCATGCTGCTCCTCTTGGATGTGCAACTTCTCCAGCCAAGAGGCCGTGAACGGCATCTTGGGAGATGCCATTCGTTTTGTTGCAACTTTGGAGTCAAATGCATGGTATTTGCTGCGGCCAGTCAAGTTCAAGCGGCTGATTTCCTTAGAACTCTGGTAATGAGATGCCAAGGTCAAAACCACGGCTTCCCGCACGAGATGCAACACGCGGATGTCACGAGTGACTAAGTAGTCTTGAAACCAATCAAGGGGCATCGATGTCCTCCCAATCTTGGCAGATGGCCCCTTGATCTGATTGTACATCAGCTTGAAACCACAAATAGGCTTGCCCAAGCTCTTCGCTTGCGTGCAAACTGTGTCAAAGGCCTTGTCCGCGTCCGCCTTCCACTTCTTTACCGAGACTTCTTCCCTCATACCGCTATACCAAGACAAGGGTTCATGGCCGCATAGGACTTCACTCTGCCGGCCTAGTACATCGCACAGCCAAGTCGAACCACTTCGCTGTGTGGTCAGGACCAGATACTTGGCTGAATGAGACGCGGATTCTGGTTGCACACGTGCTTTCACCCGTGCATCCCCTTGCTTCAGCCGATTACATGCCCTTTCGGACATGGTCCCCTTGATCTGCTTCCTCATGCGTGAGACATCAGCGATGCGCTCTTTGCAAGTCGCCTTGTGTAGCTTCAGAAAAGAAGAGTTCCAAAGAAGCTGTGGATCAGTAGGGAGGTAGGTCACACCGAGAAACTCCAAAGACATCCGCAACATAGTGGTTGCTTTCTCACCCATGAGGTTTTCATAGCTCACATAGTGATGGAAGATGTTCGAATGACGCAAAAAGGACCACCACTGTTCATGCTGCTCCTCCAAATCACGCAAGGTTTGCAAAGTCTTGGCTGTGAAGGGCATACGCTTGGCCTTGCCCTTCACTGGGGCTTGCCGCTCTGGTTCCGGCCTTACATTTGCGCAAGTGGGACCTGGACCACCCTTGATGAGCTGTAGAAGAAACCATCGAGAAACTAGATTTGCTGATCTGTAGATTTGGAGAATCGGGTACACATTGCTATTAGGTTGGGGTACCAACATACTCTCTTTTCTTTGGACGTCCAACTGACGTCCAAGCAATGCCAAGGCCCCCGTCCCCCTTTTGGCTCAACCTCTCAAGTTCACTGGTCTATGCAAACAAGGGGGTTCCGATTTCGTACATTTTCTTGCTGGGACTATCCAGAGGTCGCTCTCCTTTTGTCAGTTCGATGTGAAGGAAACCCGTGCATGAAGAGGGTCTTCTATTCTGACTGCCTGAGTATTTCAGGAAAATAAAGGTTACAGCAATAACTGTCCAACAGCTCAGGCGTGAACCGCTTGAAAACCAATCCCTGAACCACTGACTGGATAGGTACATTGGACATCACTCCGACCAGAATCAAAGCTGGGCCACCGGTTGGAATAACTCTAGATGAGAGAAGGTCATCCCAAGTCAGTTGATACAGTGAACTACTTCAAACTCAGACACCACCAACGCGACAAACCGTCTGAACTCTCCGCCGAAGCCACTCAGTCAGGTCCAAGCTGCTGTCATGACCTTTCTGAAGGGCGTTTTGTTCCAAAAGTGGCGTGCATATTAAATTGGTATGCTCAGGTGTGGCGGGTGCTTGCGAACATGATCTTGCTTTATCAGGGGTGCTGAAAACAAGTTTTCACATGTTCGTTGGAGGTTCTTTCTTGCATTTGATAGTCTTTATAGGTGTTGAATTGATCTCTTAAGTTGGAGGCCATCGCTATTAGTAACAATAAAGCTTTCTAGCATGTCTTCGCTTCTTAGTAACTAGAAGCTACTAGGGGCTCCTGACATCGCTACTAGGAGCAAGGACGCTACTAGGGGCTCCTGGCCGTACTACTAAGAGCAAGTAGCTACGAACGTAACAAGAAGCTACTAGGTGAAGGCCATCACTATTAGGTTGACCAGATCTCAGACCGTCTTCGACCCAGTAGTCCAGTCACAACATGAATTGACGGTCCAGTAGTCCAGTCACCGTTAGCAGGTGGTCCAAGTTCAAAGAAATCGCTTCTCTTGTGGAACGTTGAAGCTGAGCTTCCGACGAGTCTGGTAAATGGATGCGAGCTGCAAGATCGCAGCTTCCCGCACGAGATGCAACACGCGGATGTCACGAGTGACTAAGTAGTCTTGAAACCAATCAAGGGGCATCGATGTCCTCCCAATCTTGGCAGATGGCCCCTTGATCTGATTGTACATCAGCTTGAAACCACAAATAGGCTTGCCCAAGCTCTTCGCTTGCGTGCAAACTGTGTCAAAGGCCTTGTCCGCCGCTGCAGCCCATTCTTCCGCCTGTAGCACTTGCTTTGAGGCGGAGTGCTGTGTCAATGCCTCACCGGCGCAAAACACATCGTTTTGACGGCCAATGACATCACACAGCATCGTCGAACCACTTTGTGGCGTAGTCAGGATCACATACTTGGTGACTGTGAGTGGCTGATTGAAAGGTGCGAACAAATTTCCGCGAACTCTTTCCTTCAAAAGCTCCAGTTGAGACACATTTCCGGTAGCCAGAGATGCCCAGACATGCCACTGAGCGTATAACTGAGTTCTGCTCGGCATCAACATTCTCAGCAGTGTGACGCATGTCATCACCACAAATACTAGGAGCAAGAAGCTACTAGGGGCTCCTGGCATCGCTACTAGGAGCAAGGACGCTACTAGGGGCTCCTGGCCTTACTACTAGTAACAAGAACGCTACTAGGAGCACCAGAGCATGGGCCCCATGGGCTCATTGCACTGCCAAGGCCGACAGAATCCGCGACGGAACACCGCTGCACGCCACGCCGCAACCCCTAAATTCAGTGTGTTCATTTCAATAGCGATGGCCTCCAAACAGGGCACATGAACAGAATGTCTAGCTCTTACCGTAAACTGTTATTACTATGTCTTCACTGGTTCCGATTTGGGTTCTCTGCTTCCG